ACTCTAGTAGGTTTAGGTTGCAGATAAATTAGATAGTTAAATATCTATAGTCTGAGTCTCATTCTTGTAAAATATTTACAATTATTAATCTTATAGACCAGAGAAACCCCTAGTAGATTCTCAATACAAATTATTAAATAAAGATAAAGACAAAACCTTACCTTAAAAAAAAAAAAAAAAAAAAAAAAAAGTGGTCTCAAGGACGTGCACTTAGAGAGGTCTGACTGTAGTTCTCTTTAAAAAATAAATTGAAAATTGCTAACTTTGAATGTAAAAAAAGAGAACTACTTATTAAATTTTAACAATTTTACTATTATTAGAACCAGAAAAGCCTAATGAACAACTTTAATTAGACCCAAAAAGAAGGTTTACTTATTAAGATTATCTCTTTTAAAACACTTTTCTAAAATTTGGGGGGTACAAATACCAAAAGTGGGGGGTATGAATACCAGCACCCTAATTTTATTTATATAGTATTTTTTATATCAATTATAAGAAAATTTAATATAAGTATGTGAAGATAGAATAATTTGCCATTTCCAAAGTATAAAAATTTTGCCCGACATTTTTTAATCAGTATACCAAAGCTAGTTTAAACATTAGTTTTCGAGCATTTTCGCTTTTTTCTTCTTTTGCACGTATTCGGATTCTAATCCGGGATAATCAAAAACTGAAATCGTTAATTGGCAGTTTCCTTTTAGAAATTTGTAGTAAATATATGAATGCGGCTTTAGTCTAAATCCAATCGTAATAAGAAAGGTTGTATTCTTCAGATCAGTGTGAATGTAAAGAATTAAAGAAGCTAGTTTCTTAAAAATCACTTGCAACTCGAAATCTGACCATAAAGTTGGTATTCTGCGCTCGAGTTAAAAGTTTTCTTGTGAATATACAGTAATCTCAGCATAGTAGTATGCTTAAAAAAATGAAATGATGAAATATATTCACGTGATCAGCAAAGTTTTTGTTGCTACATAAGATCTATAACGATAACGATAATGATAATTGTATGTATATATGATATTCTAGTCAAATTTCTTTCCATGCCCTTGATAAAACGTATTTACTGTATTTGTTCAAGATAATTAGTAAAAAACCAATGTTTTAAATTTAAATGCATGGAGTTATAAAATTGTTCGATTCTTGGACTATATTGCCAACTTAAAACGAATTTACTAGAAGTATTTGTCTTATAAGCTATAATTGCGGCATAAAAATATCGACATTCATACGACATCGAAACATCTGTCGTTAAAATGAGATTCATAAACATCAGATTCCAATTTTTTTGATGATACTCATGCCATATGACCAATAGTTTATGAAATCATAAAATAATCAAATTATTTAATTAATAAAAAATCTTTTACATAGAGGATGAATTTAATTGTTGTTATATGTACTTTAACTGCTTTGATTTATGTGTAACGTAAACACATCTTTATGTTCTATTGACTGAATGCGGAGTTTTTATATGTAACACGTTATTACGTACGAATACATTTTTCATATATAAATATAATCATAGTTTCTCATGTTTTTTTAGATTGTTTCGTGTCTATTAGATCACATTTTTTCATTTCTCTTGAATAATATTTTCAAAAAATGTCTTCAACAAATCAAACTCAAGGTCAAACCCAAAGTCAAGGTCAAGGTAAAGGCATGGGAAAAAGCACGGGAACAAAGATTATTTCAAGGTCTGCTAAGGTGTGTCACTTGTAACTCAATTGTCTTGATGATTTTCCTCGTCAACCTTTTTCATACATTTATTGATTAATCTATTAATAATTATAAAATCCACTATTTTATTACTTTATAATAATAGGCGGGTGTACAGTTTCCAGTTGGACGTCTCCATCGTCATCTTCGCAATGGTAATTTTGCACAACGTATCGGCAGTGGAGCACCAGTTTACATGGCCGCCGTACTTGAATACTTAGTTGCGGAAATCTTGGAATTGGCAGGAAATGCTGCTCGTGATAATAAAAAACATCGAATCATTCCTCGTCATCTGCAATTGGCAATTCGTAACGATGAAGAACTTAACAAATTGCTTGGTCACGTGACTATTGCTCAAGGTGGCGTTCTTCCTAACATTCATCAGGATTTGTTACCTAAAAAGTCAGGTGCAAAAAAAGACAAAGGTATGCTTGAAAACCGTTTTGAGTCCTGATTTTCTAGATGTATATAACATTAATGTTGTTTAATTACAAAGCTGAGGCATCTGGCACGCAGCACGATGATGAAGATTAACTGATTAACTTGACAATAAAAGATATATCCATTATACGTGTCTTTTCATAGATTGGATTAATTACTTGCATTGTAATGCTTCTTTTTTCATTCACCTTGCTTTATCTTTGATCTTGAACAAAAAAAAAAATAAAATAATGTACCGTATTCTTCTTATTTTCTTTCATTGGATATTTTCACGCTAACTTTGATGATTTCATTATGTAATAGTCAATAGTACATGTTATCAACAAATATGAAACTAAAAAAAAAAAAAAAAATAACATTCCCTAGATTTATTTGGTTTATTGCAAGTAATTGAAATTATTCTGTTCATAATATCTCGTCATCTTCAAAGTGACACGTGAATTTTAATTTTTTTTTAATTTTTTGCAAGTGCACTTTAAAAATTATGAGTAAGAACAAAACTAATAGAAGTTGCACCGGCAGAATATTACCACTGTTGGTTAGATAACGAATACGAAAAAGGCGCAGATCTTTTAGTGGTAGAACATTATCACCATTTGGATATGTATATGAGTACGTACGTACAATGAAATTGTCCCATGATTATGTTAATCGTTAATTTGATTGAATATAGTATATCGCTTCGGCTATTTTCATTATCGAAGTCTTCATCAAGCAAACGGTCATTTTTGTTAGAAGGCCAATCAATGTTTTATTACAAATGTTTATCTTTATTCCTATCGCATAACCTTTTTTTAAGAAAATTTGTTATA